TCAAAATAATGAGATTAAATCTAAATCATCATATCTAAATCGAATGATTTATAATTCTTGATAGCGTAACTCCGCCATTTTTTATTAAAGAGTATTTATGCTTTGTTTGAAAGTATATAAAGAAATAAAGCAGAGAACTTTGAAGATAAAAGAACTTCTAAAAAAAAAAGAAAAATAAAATAGAGCGAATAATCGCATGAAATTGTATCCTTTTTCTTTAGACCAATTTTTTTCAAAATAGAAGAACTCAAAAATGTATTGAAGAAATATTTTAGAGGGTCTTAAATAAACTTTCAAATTTATTATTTCTCTTTATAATAATTTTAAAATTAATAGAATGGTATTCACAAATATTTCCCCCCTACCCTTTTCCAAAAAACTAGTCTCCCAAAAAATTGAAAATTTTCCCTATCTTTCCCTCACAATCCCAAACAAAGGCTCAAGCATAGCCAAAGAAACATCATGTTAGATGGAGTCATTTCTTGCGTGGCCATGTGATTTTCTTGTTTAAAATATAGTTGTTGTCATGTGCTTATAGAACCCAACCCAAACACTTTCATCATGTTATGTAAATTGATGCAAATTTAGGTTGGCTAGAGGATAATATCTCTTCACTTTTTTCTTTAATCTATCTAACCATAAGCTCTAGCGTGGAAAGGACAATTTATGAATGGGATTGGTCGGCTTAAACATCTATTCATGTTTTTTTGAGGAAAATAACCAACCAAAAATAGCTTATTCCAACTAGATTAAAACAAAGTACATGCATCACTTGTACAAAACAAATTAAACATCATAAAGTTGATGAGGTATTCAAAAGAAAGATAAGACGCTAGTAAGTGTTCACTTACTTTATCCATACTCATTTATCCAAACTCAATTATAAGTAAAAAAAACACTTATTAATAATGTGTTTTTTCTTCTTATAAATAAGCTACTTCAAAACATACACATCATATAGCATTTTTTAGCTATTTAGAATTTTCTTGTTACTTGAGTTTTGGCAACTTCATGGCTACTACAATGGTGTCAAGAGCATTGTTTCTCTTCCTAATTGTTCTTCCATTATTTATGAGTTCTGAGGCTAGAGTTTTGCATAAGTTCTCAACCATGGTGAGTGGTAAAAAGGTTAGAAGTGAAGTACTTTTAAGTGACATGATGAAAAACATTGTTCACAAGAGGTCAATGCTTGGTGACCAATTGGAGAGAGTAGCACCTTCTGGGCCAGATCCTCACCATCACTAATGTTAATCAGAATTGGTTGCTTAGAGGAAACTTTGATTGAAGTTATTAATCTTTAATCCTTTTTAAGCTCTTCAATACAAGGTGGAATGAAATCAAAGACTTGGTGACTAGAGCAACAAATTTTGTTTATAATTTATGTAATTAATCCTTATTGAGATGTGTCATCTGATTAATGTTATATTTATAGAGTTTTTCTAAATTTACTTTTTGTTTATTTCATGACATAATATTTTTAGATTTTCATCAAATTAGGATTTACTGATTTATAATCGTATTTGATAAAAAATGAAATTATATAGAATAGAAAATATGGAAAATCTCTTGAATTACATAATAATATTGCAAAATTTTGAGTGACTTCATCTCATTAATGTCAAAATAACTCTTTTTATATCAAATTCTATGATAATAATAATAGACTCTTCTCTTCTCTGTCTTTTCATATTTATTCTAATAATAAATTCACGACATTAATAAAACATAGTTGTTCATGATATTATAATTTTACTAATAACTCCTAATAGGGTAGTGTTAACTTGTATTTAAAGACATAAGAACTAAATAAATAAATATCATCTTAAAAATTGCGGATAGATTTTAATAATGATACAGTGTTAACTTTTTAATTTATTTTTTTTAATATAAATTTTTTATAAATGAGTTTCTTAACTTTTACTCTTAAAATACAAGTTAGTATCATCCTAATAGCTAATAGCCACTTAAAACATTACATCTATTTAATGAAAGGTCTAACAATACTCTGTCCCTAAATTTCACCTAGTCCGATGAAAAAAAATACACATTAGAAAGATATATTCCCCTAGATTCTATAACTTGAAATAGTGAGAATCAATTGTAGAACAAATACAATAATTTTCTCATGGATCAAATTCGGTGACTACCCATGTTACTAGTTATTGGGATGACGATTACATCGTGATGATATGGTCGATTGTGCGTCACTTCTACATTCGGGTCACTATTATAAATAGATTTGACTTTTTTTGATACATTTAACTATTAATGTATTTAGTCCATATATGAATCAGATATATTAACAGTCAAATGTACTAAAAAAGTAAAAGTTACTTATAATAGTGACTGAAATATGTATGAACCATGTTTCTCTTACACCTATCAACGGATCCTTATTGAATCTTTATTTGGGAATTATTTATTACATCTTTAGTGGTGCTCTCAGACCTTAATGAAAAAACAATAATGATCTTAAAATTCAAAAATGTATTTCTAGACACACCTAGAAGTCTACACCACAATATTTCATGACTGAACCGCCTATTTTGCCAAAAATAATCTAGTATACTATCAGAATAGACTTATTTAGTCTTGAAGTCTCATAACTTAATTTCAGATTTCAATTTGGTCTCTTATGTAATAAACATTACAATTAAATCTCTTAACAATCGTTCTGTTAACTAACTTGATCTATTCCATTAATTTGGCTGTGAAAACGTTAAGTTGGCTGATGTGGCATGACAGCAAGGATTAGTATGCATTTGTGACTCAGCATATTGCATTATATTAACGTTGTAACTTCATTCTTTGTTCAATGTCCATTTTCACGTTAGGGTTACTATTCATCATCTTCTTCCTCCTTCTTCATCCAAATTTGTGAGAAAATCTTGTTCACTTAAACCGCTTTTGTCCTAAATTCTGCGAAGATGTCAATGAACTCCAACAACCATTCAAAATCAAACACTCAAAGTTATGAGTCATTTAGATACTTCTTGTAAGAGAGGCGAATGAAAGAAGCATCAGATGCTTGGTAATCAGTTTCGACACACTACTCCTAGCCTTGAAATGCTCTTGTCTTTTTTGGTGTTTATCTCGTACTAAGCAAGTCTACAACAAGACTATTGCTTCTTTCTCTTCTCACCATGACAATATTGTCTTCCATTTTTTTAATTATGTATGTCAATTTCATGATATTTCTTTTCTATTGCATCAATTGACGATTTGATTTTCTTTGTTCAAAAATCTCATATTATTAGCTCTCAATTTTAATTGTACAAAATGTGGACTAAATTGATTTGTGCAACCTGCCTGTGTTGAATTGAAATGTGAAAGTACTGTTTGTTTACATCATTGCAATGTTACAGGTGAAGGCTAGTAGCGATGATACCCTAGCTAGGCATCGGATGTTTTCTCCATTCGTCTCTTCTACCAAAGTATATCTTCGGATTTAGTATAAAAATATATTTTTGGACTATTTTTTAGCAAAATAGAATAGATATGTCACTTATGAAGTTTTTATGGTATATTTTAGATGCATATGAAAGTATACTTTCAAATTTTAAAAAGACATTTGAGTTTTAAAAAGGTGGCTCTTTGTCGTTAAGGATTGGAAGAACAATTCATTTCTTATTTTTCATTGTCGCCCTAATGATTTGATTTCGTGTCCACTAAATAATCTAATTTTTCGTTGTCATTTTCTTAATCTGTGTGCTTTCTAGTTTTTTTCTATAGTTTGAGATGCTAGTGATTCTTGCTTCTCATTTTGAATTTGATATAGGTTGTGGTTTTTTCTCTTGGAAAAAAATCTCACCAAGTGTTTGGATTGCTCATCTTCCAAGAAAGTCACCCATCAATGAAGAGCATCTCCTCTCAATGCAAATGCAATAACCCAACAAACTTTCTTCTCTTCACTCATCTTTCTTGACCCAAAATATTGTTCTACTTGGACAGAAAACTTAGAATCACTTCCATCAAACCTGTAGTCATCTTCATACTAAAAATTTCAGAAAATCCACAAAATCTTTCTAGATCAGAAACAAATTAATATAAAATAGAAAATAGGAAAAATCCCTTGAATTATAGGGTTTATGCCTCATTAATGCCAAAATGACTATTTTCCTAACAAACTCCACGATAATTGACTTTTTCCTATCTTCCCCTATTTATTCTAATAATAAACTCAAGGCATTAATAAAACATAATGGTTACTAATAATATAAATTTCTCACTAATCACTCATGATAATAATTAATAATTGCCACTTAAAACATAACGCTACTTAATGAAAGGTCTAACAGAAACAAAATAAATAAAATAAAGTTTGGGTCTCTTTCAACCTTAGCCTCTGCAGCCATCTCAAGTTCAACCCCTTCTTTCTCATTTATCAACTTAGTTTCTACTTTTCCAAAACCATGTTGAGTGAATCGGTTATTTCTGGTGCACTTTCATCCCTGCATCATATCTCTCTACCAATTTATTTGTAGACTAGAGACCCTTTGCTCTATCTAAATAACCTTTACTATTTTTTCTATGGTGGTGGGAAGAGTGTATGGTAAGAAGTTATGGAGAAGCTACGGCTCAGCCACATGAGGTGGCGGCAAGCAAGGGGCAGAGTCTAGCAGGCAGCCGGCAAGGGGTGAGGAAGAGCAATGTTGCAGAGTTGCAGCAAACAGGACTGTAGGGGCACAACAGTTTGACTGAAAAAGCCACAAAATAACTGAACATTGAGCAAGACAATGTAAAAAATAAAGTTAAAACCAAAATCTATGGTTTTTTTCTTCTATTTTGTCGCTTTCATAAGCGAACCATGCCACCAAAATAGGGGAAGCGAGAATATACAGATAATATAACATAAAAGTCAAGAAAACTTTGTTAACAAGCAAGGACAACAAAAACAAAATTTTGTTAATAATATGCTACATACTAGTTGATCATGATCCTCTATCATTCCAAATATGCGACAGCCGGTTCAAGGGAATGTAAAATAAAATCTCTGTCCATCACTTTCGGGTCTTCTTTATCCATTCTAAAATAGGATAACAGTCTTTTCCGTTCACAAAATGCCTTCATATAGAAACAATAGTTAATGTTTTTGCAGCAAAGAATATAAATGACATAGCATATTCATAAATATATACCAGTTACTTAAATCATTGTACCTATTTGTGGTGCGGTAAGATCTTAGTTTAGCAGCTATTTGGGTATTAGATATATCTTTTGACATTCTAAGGTGTTCAGGCACAAAAAGACTTCCATTCTGATCATGATATGCATCATGAATGAAGTTGAGAATGGTTTCCTGGAATTCGTTGTTCGTCATAAAATCAGCATAAGTTTTAAGAAAAAATTGTGGGTTGGGTAATACAAAATAAGTTACATGAACTCGTATATGCAAATCTAGTAACAGCTAATGGCAAAATATTCAATCATTATACCAGAGGTTTAGAAGCATCAAGCCAATGGTATATACGCTCATTGCGAAACCAAGTAAACTGTCGTTTTGCAAAATTCCTGTAAAAACCGAATCAAGCAAGAGCAATGCCAAATAAACCAATCAGCTAAACAACTACTTACAGCCAGCAAAACATGGGAAGTCTCAAACATCCTGATTCATAGTCAGGATAGCATTCCAGACGCTGTAGTTTTTCTCTTTAAATAATAAGTTTATCATCCTGGCATATGTATTTTCTAATTACAACAATGGTAAGAATCCAATTTAACTTAGTTGAGAAAGTAGAAAAAACTGATGGATGTCCTACAAACAAGATAGTAGGACATACATTATTTTCTTAAATACATGACAGTATGTTAAACTTATTTTCTTAAAGAAAAAATAAGATAGTGAAGTACAACCCCATCCTTGACCTAAGACATATCAAGGTTGAGCATGAAATTCTTTTTTAAGTAACAGCGCGTAAAGAATACTAGTTCAGAATACGCGGTATTTAAAACAGGACAAACAAGTAAATATATATAAGAGAAATAACCAACCAACTTGTCAAAGTAGTGGTGTCAGAATACTAGGATAGTGTTTTTCTGAATGTTCATGAATCATAATTATCTTATCGCATAGCATACTTTTTGAACATAATATAGTTAATGTTAAGGGTACTTTTAGCTTATGTAAAATGAAATGAATTACCGTGATGCTTTTTGAAATTCAGACAAAAATTTGTAAAATTCTATGGCTGAACTCTGACCCCCTTGTTTCCTGCATCCTAGTAAGTACTCCGTGGCCTGAAATTAGTGATTCATAAGCATAATGTATTTCAAACATTTCCTACTGTTAAGAAATTGTGGTTGGGCCTAACTCAACCGTATAAAACCGGTTGGTAGATTGAGGATTACCCCCGCTTATAAACAGATATTGATGTCATATATTGTCCGATGTGGGTCTCTTAACACACACCCTCACGCTCATGATTAGAGAACTGGAGTGTGGAAATAAATGGTGCGTGGCCCAATAGTAGAAACCATAGAAGGTGGCCCACTGAATCTTAAACGAGACTCTGATACCATGTGAAAAATAAAAATAAGAAATTTTCAGAATGTGCTTGAGTGAATAAATCACTCAGCAACTATGATATTTATATACACTATATAATTAATTACATATTATGTTTACAAGGAGAAATAAATAATAGTCTAACTTCCTAAATGCATGAATCTAAATATACAAGAACCTAAGACTTAAATGATCATTTTAGTGGAAAACATACAATGTATTTTTTCTATTTCCAACACCTACTATTTTAATTGAAATATATAAATCATTGTTTTACACAATCTTAAATCACAGTTTACAAAACCTTAAATAAACAGAGCCTAAAATGGGAGAATGTTCAACCAAAGATATTTCGTAAAGCACGTGGTACACAATATGCAGAAATTTCCACCAAATCTATTTCTTTATTTAAGTATTGCAAATAGTAATAGTGAAATGTAAATGTAGAACATAAAGTGAATAACACTATACTTGTCTGTAACCAATTGCTTTTGTTGCAGAGTTGGAGTTTGGTCGAAGACCGGTATCAAGAAGCCATTGAGCCTCAGACAAAATGCTATCCCCTCCTGCAATCAAAGAAAACCGTGAGACTGATTGCAATTATATATTCACATAATGTAGACAAATAACATTGTATCCATTGTTATAACAGTAAACATAATTTGATATGAACATGTATAGGATTCATATTTATATACAAATTACGTGTGATTCCAGTTCATGATATACCTAATAACATTTCTTCACACCGATAATCAAGTGAGCTGTAGAGGTCAAGTCTGTCGCTTGAAAGGAAAAAACACATGAAATCGTAGTCTAACTTTGCTGAATCAGTTTCTTTCATTGCATCATAATTAGTGTTTGTATCAGATGGATCAGAACCATCAGCAACTCTAGAATCACCCTGTTCCCTGAAAGAATCATATGGTACCCGAAAAGCAGAAGGAGGTGATCCACTAGACTGCCATTTCAAAAGATAATAAATATATGGTGAATTGATGATATATTTCAGTTAACTTCATGATCAAAGAAACCATATTCCCCATATACATCCACACAAAAATACATGTATAAACAGATAATTCACTAAGGAAGCAGTCAGTTACAATTAAGCACATTAGAAAGAGATAAGAGCACCATATTGAGGAAAGTAAATAAATTTCTGGCAATATGATTCATTGAGCTTGTTATCATATTTGCATAATTTGCATACATGTGCTACAAATGGAAGAGAGAACGACAGGCAAGAAAGGATATTAAAATGTCAACATTGAGAGGTTTATACAATCTTTTGGTAAAGGTTAGTAGCCAGCCAAGAATTTAAAGGTGCTTATGTGTAACTTTATAAAATAGCAAGCTTGCCTTAATAATTTCTAGACTACGCCGTAATCGATACCAATCATTCACTGCTAAATGTTGGACCTTTGGATCACCTGCTTTTACCACCAATTGCACAGCAGCATCCCAGTCGTCATTTCTTTGTAATTCAGCTAACTCTATATATGCTTGAGATGCTATCTCTGTAGAGGATTTAGGCACATCTGGCTTTCCATATATGAACCTTGTATTTTAAAGATCGGACAAAAAAAATCATAGGTATATATTCCCTATTAGCTGATTTATAAATACTTACAAAAAAGAAACACAATAATGATATGTAATAAAATAGTGATAATTCACTAATATGGTGGGTGTCAGTCAACACAGTAATTTTTGACAAAAGTTAGTTTATATTGTACAAAAGACAAACCAATCGAACCTCTAGCTTCTTAACGTATAGTTAACGTAAGTTATGCAAGACTCACAACCAAGTTTGCATTACTATTTACTCATAATAATAGTAATGTATAATCATGCAACTATATAAATATTCTGGGAATTCATAATGAAATGAATAACTTCATCGGTAGATTGCAGAATAAGAGAAGTGGATTCCATTTACGATTTATGCACTCTTATTGACCTGTTACAGATCAGCAATTACACTTGGAAAGAAAACTTCCGCCGAAAGCACGTGAATCTGTACGGACCGATCAAAGTGCCAGCCAGTAAATACAAAGTCAAAGTACTGGCAGAAAAAAAATCGGAAGCGTGGTAAAAAAAGAACAAACAATAAGATGTATTTGTTGGTTTGCGTCTCGTACCATATAGCATTTTCCCTTACAGAAACATGATACAACAACTATGCCACAATTAAGAAAATACATTTTAAAGAATTAGTATAAAAATTCAAAACAGTTAATTGAAAAAGACAAACCATCTTAAATACAGTCCAGTGCCTCCAACAACTATCGGAATGCGACCTTTGTCAAGAATAGATCTTGTCGCTTGCCTTGCATCCTCAAAAAACTGCCCAGCAGAATAATCTGATAAATAAGAATTAGTTTCAAATTTCAATTTGGGGAAATGAAGGAGCTCTAAAAAATCCAGCAACAGAGAAATGAATATGAAGATAATTGTGTTCAAATCGTTACCTAAACAAATATAACTTAGTCTAAAAGAAAACATACCTTCAGATGGGTGAAGTATGTCAACCAGATGATGCGGCACTTCCTAGAAAGAACAGCAGGAAAAAAAACAAAATTGAAAAGAACTATAAACTAAGATTCAAAACCCCTTCCTATTACAACTAAATAATAAATCCAAAAAGATACAACAGACAACCCAAGTCACAATTGCAAGGAACAGAGTGTATATGTTTCTAACAAATACATTCATATAGCAAATAAATATGAACGCAAAACTATACATACCTTTCTATCATTTAAGGAAGGCTTTGCAGATCCAACATCAAGACCCCGATACACCTGTAATAAAAGACAAGGAAGCCATCTTGAATAAAAGAAAACATCAAAACTAGCTCCATTGTAATGTATAAATCTTCTTTTGGTAACATTGTAATGTATAATTCGAACAGAAGTATCATTTTCAAACACAAATTAATCAACACATATCATTCTCAACTGATTTATCACTTAAAAGATAAACTTCTTAACTTCCTAATAATTTATATATATAATAAAGTTTATACAGAAATAGAAGGAAAACGCACAACAAACTGCACTGCTACCTCTTTTTAGATAACAAAATCAATCCTCTTAAAAACTATATTCATTGACCTAGAAGATACAACATTACTATGCATGAACTTTTACACTCTCTGTAAAAGATCAACGGCCTCTAGGACTAAGAAACCAAAAGAGTCAAAGAAAAATGATATGAAAGAATATTGATTATCAGAACACGCTTTCTCATGTTTGACCACTTTACTTGAAGCGGCTATGAAGGTTGCCTGTGGGACCCACAGTAAAACCTCCCGTCTCAGTTCCATAGAAACTCCAGTCAAGTTCGTACATTTCCCTATAGCCAACTGTACACCAAAACATTTGTTGGCTCCAGTGGGTCAGTCAAGAAATTTATAGGCGACATTTCACAGATACTTCGGCCGACCGAAATATATCAAATAGGACACCCTTAACAATGCCATGTCACTATTTGAAGCCTCAAGCTCCTTACAATAAATCACATGTTTCCCAAATGTATCCAAGCACGTCTTGCAACAACCAGGACAAACTTAATCAATATAGAAAATAAAAGAATCATAAGAAAATATCTATTTTCATCGTGAAGAATATTCCTCCTAGGTGTCATCTTACTTTCTCTCAGGCATTGAAAGATGCTCTTTATAAGGTGGTTGCTGAGCCGGAATCTGTAAGTGTCTCAGTTCGGTTGTTACTTCTTCCTCGTTGCACTTTACAGGTGGTCAAGCCTCAAAATAGGCGGAATTGCAAGTCTGAAAATCGGAAGTCCTTGCAACGACACATTTTAGAGTGATTAGCTACTTGGAGAGATGCAGAAGGTCTTGCCAAGTTGGTTGATATTGTGTTGGGAAGCTCTGAGCAAGACAACTTAGGTAACAAGGGAATTCATATTGAGGAGAAAGATAAAAAAGATGAGCTATAATGTCAAACAATGTCTCTGCAAGGTTGCAGATAGCCACTTCACAGCGGTTGTGAAAGTGTTTGGGTCATCCAGAGTGGGCCCCTATAATAGACATACAATAAAGATTTTGGAGGCTAAGCACCTCTACAAACCATCTCCCTCCATGCCAACCACCTTGTTTTCCGAAACTCCTCTAGTGGTTGAAATTAATATTATCTTCAGGTGCATCAAATCATTTCTCAAAGGAACATCATGATGTTGTAGAGATGGTTTGTGAGCACAACATATATTTTATACATTTGTGTGGAGAATGTTTTGTTGTGGCAAGAAATCTTTTATGTGCCATCATTCTAGTTGTTAGCTTATGGATGAGAGGAAGATGTTCGATGAGTTTGACAGAGTTAGTGCTTCTACATCCTTGACGCCGTTATTAAATCCTGATGGTGGGATACAACCAATTGTTGTGAGTTCTATTTGGAGTAAGTTGGTATCCAAGATAGCTATGAAAGGGGTCAATAAAGATGTGGCATGATATCTCAATGACTTCTACCTTGGGGTTGGAGTATCGTGCTGTTGAGCCCATTTTGTACAATGTCAACAGAGTGTTAAGCAAGCGACATGAAGATGGTTCTTTGGCGATGCTCACGGTAGATTTTTCTAATACTTTCAACATGGGAGATCGATCTGCCCTGATGCGCGAGGTGAGGGTGAGATGTCCATCTATTTCTTTATGTGTTGAGTTTCTTTATGGTCAGGCAGTGGGGTTGTACCTTGGGGGTGAACATATGTCAACTACCGAAGTGCAACAAGGTGACTCGTTAGGACAACTCCTTTTTCCTCTTGTGTTACACTCATTCATTCATTAGATTAGAGACAATTGTAAGTTTCTTCTTCATATCTGGTATCTTGATGACAGGACCATCATAGGCGATTCAGAGGAGGTCGCTAAAGCCATTGACATTATCCGAGAGACGGGTCTAGGATTAGGTCTCAAATTGAATATTCCTAAGACTTGAGATCTTTTGCCCTTCATGTGATGGAAGTTGTTGAAATATAAGAGACTAAGAGACATTTGAATAAACCGTGTGTTTAGAAAAGCAGTAAGAGATTATATATATATATATATATATATACACACACACACACACATATTATATATATGTGTGTGTGTGTGTGCGCGCGCGTGCTTGTGTGTGTGTGTGTGTGTGCGCGCGCGTGCTTGTGTGTGTGTGTGTGTGTGTGTGTGTATATATATATATATATATATATATATATATATATATATATATATATATATATATATATATATATATATATATATAGATGTGGGACTATTCTATATACAAAATATTCTTAACACCATATATTTACAAATATCAACACTCCCCCTCAAGTTTGAGCATATAAGTCAAATGCACCAAGCTTGCCACATCTGCTAATTAATCATTAGAGTTGACAAAGCTTGTGCCTATGTCGCCTGATTCAATCGTCTCTCTGACAAAATGACAGTCTATCTCAATATGTTTGGTTCTCTCATGGAACACTGGATTTGAAGTAATGTGCAATGCAGATTGATTATCACAAACAAGTGTCATTGGTCTTCCTTCTTCAATTTGAAGTTCTTTCAGCAATTGTTTTAACCAAATGAGTTCACATGTTGTCATTGTCATGACCCTATACTCTGCCCCGGTCCTTGATCTTGCAACTATATTTTGTTTCTTACTTTTCCAGGATATAAGGTTTTCTCCAACAAGTACACAATACCCAGAGGTGAATCGTCTATCAATGGTGACCCTGCCCAATCAGCATCGAAATATCCAACTTTCTAACTATGTCCTTTATCTTCATACACGAGGCCATTTCCTGGAGAACATTTGATGTATCTCAAAATCCGGACAACAGCATCCTTGTGTTCTTGGCAAGAAAAATTTAAGAACTGACTTATCGCACTAATTGCAAAAGAAATGTTCAGGCGAGTGACTGTGAGATAGTTCAATTTTCCAACCAATCTCCTATACCTTCCTGAGTCAGATAGAGACTCCCCCTGATTGGGTAGGAGTTTGGCACTTAGATCCATAGGAGTATCAGCTCGTTTAGCGTTCAACAAATCTGTTTCTTACAAAATATCCATAGCATATTTCGTGGGGGTTGTTCCCGTCGGACATTGGGAGGTTGATGTTAGGGATTAAGTTTCTTGGAGGGGTTGTTAGTCGAGATGAAGGCTTTATCGAGGGGTTGTCCATGAAGAGAGTTATTAGAGTTGTTGAGTTAACAGATCTTCTGCCACAACTAAGGGAGCATTTGACTGAGTTTCTTCTACTTCGATTCTACATGGGTATCTACAAACTGTTTTTTGGCCTAAAAACATGAGAGCCTAATCATATGGAGAAAACAACTATTTGGTTTGATAAAGAGTTGCGAAGGGCGGTTGAAGACATTGTTGTTGGTGAAGGTTCTTTCTTCGAGGACTTTCAATGAAGGGTGGCTTTTTTAACCATTAGAGTTGGGGGATTGAGTTTATACTCGGCAGTAGAGATTGTCTCATACACTTTTGTGGCTTCTAAGACTCAATTTTGGATGTTACATGATTGTATCTGGTATGGATTTTGATTTCGACAGGGTTTTAGATGGTTTAGTGTTGCGATTCCAGACTTTGATCTTAGTTAGTAGTTTTACTAACAAGGACATTGTCCCTCCTAAAGCATAACATGTTTTGACAAGTGTCATTTTTAATAAAAGTATTCCGAACACGGATGTAAAGTTTGATATGATCATAAGACAGAAAGTAGTTTTTGTTTGTTTGCCAGCAGCATATGTTCAGAATTTTATTTTTGTTATTCCTATTGATGGATTAGATCAACACATGTAGTACGGTAATATTATTAGATACCGTCCTATAATTATCTTACTTTGTAATAATGACTTTTTCTCTATTTGTTGCAAGACGTGGTTGGATATATTTAAGAAAACATGATTCATTGTATGTAGTTTTCAAACGTTGTTAAGAATGTACTATTTAATATATTTTGGCTATATGTGAAGAGATAAACACTTATAAACTTCCTAATTAAAATGAAAAATCTGTCTCCGTATTAACATACTTCACTATCTAGAATAAAGTTATCAATCTTAATAAGAGAAAATAGTCGTTTATTCATAGTGTTATAACATTGCTATAAGCCTATAACCACTATTTGAGAGCACTGAACCAGAATAATGTTTAACTCAACGGCATTTTCATTGAGAGCGAACATTGAATTTTCAAACTTCTAAAACCCTACGAGTAACACTACCACTTGAATACGCAGAAAAGCAACAACGCAAGAAAAAGAGAAATACTGAAAATAAAGTTTAAAAAATGAATGTTCGTTTTTGTTTGTTACCTGAACGGAATCCGCACTAACGATTTCTCCATTGAGGCGCCTTGCGAGTTCCATTGCGATACGGCTTTTGCCGGAACCGGTGGGTCCAGAAATAACTATCACCTTCTCTTTACTTTTCTCCGATAGTGATGCGGTGACGAGAAACCGGCGCCGGAAATGGTAGGAGAGTGGGGCTGCACGAAATAATTGATGCTCCGGGAGACGGAGGGACGAGCGGAGGCTGCACACTCCGTTGGCAATCATCTTCGGCGTTTTCAGGTCAAACGGCACAGCAAACGGTTGTAGAATTCAAAGTTTGATATATAAACATTAGATAATAATAGATAAATGGATAAAGGCAGATATTTCATATTTTCCTTTTTTTTCTAATAATAAAAATCATGTTTTTTTTAACTAAAAATTGTATTAGTGTAATTTAAATCGGTAAAACATATCAACAATAATAAATAAACAAACTCACAAATAATAATATAGGTTTAATATTTATTTTTTGGTTTCATTTTGGTTCCATAATTAAAAAAGATGTACATATTGATCATTTAATCTTTTAATACGTACTATGTTGGTCATGTTCATCTAATTAGCGATGGAAAAATTTATAAATTGATGGTTAAGTTTGTTGCTAATTAGACAAAAATGACTAACATACTACATTTTGATGAGTTAAATGATCAATTTGAATCTTTTGTATGTTACATGATTAGGGATGACAATGGATAGGGGTGGCAAAGTGGGTTGCCTGCCCCGTTTAGGTCCACTTTGTTTAAACCCGTCCAAAAGTAGGGTGGAGCAACTTAGGCATCTAAGCTCAAAAGCCAGGTTCACCTCGTTCAATAACGAGTTTGTGGGTTGCTGGGTGAGTCCGCTAATTTTTTATTTTACAATTTAATTTACTACATAATTTACATAAAAATTATTTATTACCAAAGATGTCGACAAAAGATTTTTTCTTAAGAACACATAATAGAACTACAACGTGTTTTAAGTACAAACAGTTCAAAAAATAAAATAAATAAAGACCAATTACAATAAAAAAAAACAACGAAATAAACTCAAGCACAATAAAAAACGTATCAAAATAAATAAATAAATAATACATATCGTACTAATCTTATTTAAAAATTAACTACAAAAAGAACCCAATTAAGAATTTACAAAAGACAAACAATTATAACAATTACATTGCATAAAACATCACAGTGCATAAAATATCAACACCTAACTTTCTCACTGTTTACATAATACAGACTCTTATATTAACTAATTCCTTAATAGTTAAATCCTAAATTTGTCACACATATACACTAATCAAATCCTTCATTTTCTTAAAATCAACATTTATTTCTAAAGAAAACATGTGAGCTAATGTTTGACAACTTAATAATTCAGCATGACATACAATTTTTCTTTTATTTTAAGTTTTTCCAATCAACACATGTATTAGAAAGTTATAGAAAAAACGTTACAATTATAATTCATTTTGTTTGTATAATACTTTATAATACAATTCAGTCAACATTAAACTTAGGGAAAAGTGTTGTTTTATAGTTAAAGTTGTTTTAATTCTAAGTAAAACAATAAAAAGTTTTAACAAAAAGCCCATGGGCAAAACCCGTCCCGCCCCGCCCCGCTTTTTCAAACGGGTTAGGCGGGACAGACCAACTTAAAGTACCGAGCCGAAAACCTCAGCCCAGCTCGCCAAAAATGGCAGGTCAAGCGGGCAGACTCGGCGGGCTCGACCCGTTTTGTCACCTCTAACAATGGGTAGGATATGGACAGCGTACTATAGTATATGTCCCCATACCAACAGTTTCGAAAAATTCTCATACCCAAGCTCATACTCGGGTGGACATTATGGATACCTAAGTACCCGTACCCGTGCCCATACATGTTAACCTGTATTTTTAATAAAAATAATTGATAAATTATAATTTATCATATAATTTTAAGTTTTTTATAACACTGAAAAAATTCAAGGATGTTACTGTTGAGTTAAGAAATAAACAAATATTTATATTAAAATGCATAAAAGTTTAATAGTGATATATTTAATAAAATTGATATATTAACTTGTGCACATAATAATAAAAATAAAAACACATAAATATATATTATATGGGTATGGGGAGGGGTGGGTATTAAGGTATTAGTACCCCGAGCCCATACCCGCTTATCTTAATGGGTAATTGCCTGTACTCGTGTCTATATCTATTTTGTGAGTTTTTACGCTACCCGTTATGGGTAAATTTTGCGGGTCCCCAATGGAGATGGGTTCAATTGCTATCCTTATACAGGACCAAAATAAATTAATATACGGATGCAAAAAGGGTATTAAACCTAATAATAATATATGATGCCAAAATGTTTAACCGGACAAAAAGTACATTTGTGTTTCCTATACAAGGATAAAGACACTGTGAGACTTTAGTAGGTATATTACGTTTTATGGTGATTAACACTTGCCCGCGGCAGCAAGAAACCCTGTATGATAGTGTTTCATGGTGGTTAAAAAGATCTTCTCACATGAGGTGATAGGTTAATAGGTGTGATTTGTATGAGTTTAAATATGTCATTTGTTCCTCTGGGAAAAAAATTATAGAGGCTTCGTGGACCTAGGGTTTGGGTAACCCTTAGGGGCGGAAATCGCTCTCTCGTGATCAAAGGAAACTTTTAACCACCTAATCTTCAAATGGTAGTGATGCTCTCTCCCCTTTGGACAACGACATCGCACGTGTCGTCAGTGCCAATAGAAAGCCCTCTGTTCCACGAGGATACCGCCTAGATGACAATATTCTTGGGCGAGGGCGCCTTTGATTAGGACACTCACAAGTATAACACTATATAGTCACTTAAGCACAAGGATTTTATTAAGGAAGAAGTATTTTCAAGGCCTCTTCGCCTTTGTGAGGCATGTCCCTCGCCCTTCGGCGAGTCCATCAACTAATGGCGACTATTTATTTAAAGGACAAGTCCCTCAGCTTTGGGCGAGTCCCTCAACTGATGGCGACAATTTATTTAAAGAGTGAATCCCTCAACTTTGCTACTGTATCATTAACCCAAAAGTGCAACCAATTTTTCCTAGGAAAGCTACCATCTGAGTTGAAAGATCCTAGAAGTTTCACCATACCATGCAAGATAGGAGATTTTTTTTGTAAAAGGGAATTGTGTGATCTTTAAGCAATTATCATCTGCATGCCCTATCTATACAAGAAGTTAAACATATGAGCGGCAAGGCCAAAACCTATCACACTTAAATTACCAAACATAAAAATTTGTTACCCTCAAGGGAAGATTGAAGATGTGTTAGTGAGGGTTGACAAGTTTGTATTCCTTGTTGACTTTATCATCATGGATTTTAGTGTTGATGAAGACACTTATACTCTTTTGGGGAGACCATTCTTGCTATAGGAAGGAATCTAATAGATGTTGAAAAGGAAGAACTCACTATGAGAGTAAATGGGCAACAAGTTGTATTCAATTTCCTCAATGCATTGAAGTAACCTAAGCAGTACATATTTGCCTGTTCAATAATCTGTAGTTGGGATTAACTTGTTCACAATTAGATCATAAAAAGTAATGATGAGTTATAACAAGAGTTAGGTGAAGAAGAAAATAATGCATTGGTAAGAGAATGTATCATAAGTGGACCTCACCTTCCATTTGAAGCCAAAATATAACACTTTGCAACTCTGGAGATTACAGTTTAGTTCGTGGAAAATAATGTGTCATCCATAGCGAAACCCCTTGAATTGGAATTGAAACAACTACCTTCCCACTTGCAATATGCCTACTTATAGGTTAGACTGAAGTTGTTTGTGATCATTGCTATTGATCTACCTGATGAGAAAAAATGCCAACTTCTGGCACTTTTGAAAAAGCACAAGAAGGTTATTGCTTGGCAAATATCTGACATTAAAGAGATTAGTCGTACAGTTTGTATGCATAGGATATTGCTAGAAGAGAATGCCAAGAATAATATATAGTACCAAAGAAGATTGAATATTATCATGAAGGATGTGGTGAAGAAAGAGATCATAAAATAGCTAGATGCAGGTACTATTTATCTCATTTTTGTAGTGTGCGGGTTAGTTCTATTCAATGTGTATCAAAGAAAGGTGGCATGGCTGTGATTGAGAATGAAAACAATGATCTCATTCCTTCAAGAGCAGACACTAGTTAGAGAATATGCATGGATTATAGGAAATTAAATAATTCTACAAGGAAAAACAATGTCCCTCTTCCATTTATTGATCAAATGCTAGATAGGCTTACTAGAAAGGAATTCTATTATTTTCTTGATGGATATTTAGGATACAATTATATTATAATTCTATTGTTTCCTTGGTTGTTGTATTTGCATTTGACAAGTTCAGATCTTACTTGGTGGGTATTAAAGTTGTAGTTTACACTAACCATGCAACAATCAAATACCTCATTTTCAAGAAGGATGCAAAACCAAGATTGATAAGGTGGGTGCTACTATTACGGAATTTGACATAGAAATAAGAGACAAAAGGGGAGTAGAAAATTTGGTGGTTGATCATTTGCCAAGACACCCAGTTGATGATCATAGGTATGATAGAGAGGATATCATGGAAGAATTTCCTGATGAACATTTGCTTCTTATGACTTTTGCCATGAAACCATGGTATGCAAATATTGTGAACTATTTGGTGAGTGGGTATGTTCCCCCAGAATTCAATTCTCAACAAAGGAAAATATTCTTTTGTGATTCAAAGAATTATTATTTGGATGAACCAGTCTTGTATAAGAAATGTGTTGATCAACTTTTAAGAAGATGCAGAGACTACCCAGAGGTGCGCCAGATCTTATCTACGTGTCATAATGCACCCTATAATGGACATTTTGGAGGAACCATAATTGCTGCTAATGTTTTACAATCAGGTTATTTCTTGTCCCCTTTATTCAAGGATGCTAATTAATTTTTTAAAACTTGTGATAGGTGATGATAAAGGATAGGAATACGCTAAATAATTTGTTAAAACTTGTTATTTCTTCCTTTTCTCACCATGTAATGTATTGTCTTCCATTTTTTTAATTATGGTTGCCAATTCCATGGTACAAAATCTTAGAGTTATGAATTTAATCAATGCCTTCATGTTGGTAGGAAACATCTTATCTTTTAATTACATTTATTGAAGAAAAATAGAAAGGCGTATACAGGCAATAGAAGACCATATGGTCATCTTAATGGGAGTGGATAACTACAATGTCAAAAAGAT